CCCCCCCACTTGATTACCAAACCCCACATGACACCCCACCCACCCCATGACCAAGCCCCTCCTTGACACCCCACCCACCCCATTAGGTAAGGACCAGCAGCAGCTAGCATAATGCTAAGTAACTATTACAACGCTTTAGTTGAAGTCCTGGAGGTAAAGGCAGTAAGGTGGTAAGGCGAGGTAGGGGCCAACGGCTCAGCAGTTAGCTTAATGGCTATGTTGCAGGACTCTCATTTAGTCGACTGTGGTTCGAGGCAGGTAAGAGAAGGGGATAGGGGAAGAATTCTGTTTACTAACATATGGGTGGGTGTGTGTGTGTGTGTGTGTGTGTGCAATCTCTGCTTTGCTCAGAGATTCCGGACGTGGGAACCCTGTTTCTTTTCTTCATCCCTCCACCTCCTTTCCCACTCGCACCATCTCTTCCCCTTCTGGAGAAGAGGGCCCTGCCTTCCCTGGTGCTTACTGAGCACTGGTAAATCGTGTAAGGGTGGGGCTTACTGATTTTCTTTCACGAATGCACCCTGCTGGGAACCCCAACGAAAAAGCTCTGGCTGCTGATCGCTTCCGGAACCTCTCCCCAGAGCGCACAGACACCCAGGGAGACTCGACTGCTGGGTGACTGCTCAGTGACGTTCAGGAATGCAAGGCCGGCTCAAGATACAATCCGTCAATGTAATACAAGACAGTAACGGAATAAAAGAAGACAACTATGTGACAATCTTAATGTACAAGCAGCATTGGGTAAAGTCCAGCGCGCAAAAGGATGTCTGCTTCTGTCCTCCCACAGCTGAGATGACCTGTACTCACCTGTAAGTCCCCTGCAGCGTCACTATTTGTTCTGTCCCCCCACAGCTGAGGCGACCTGTACTCACCTGTAAGTCCCCTGCAGCGTCACTATTTGGAGAGCCAGTTCGTTTATTTTTCTGCCCTGACTCTTCTGCAGGTTGTGGGGGAATTCAAAGAAAACCCAACTGCAGGAGAACACCTGGGCTAAAGCGCTCTTACCCTCCCAGCTGCGGGGCAGCCCCCTTTGCTCACACGTTGTCAGCAACGTTCCGGCGCAGGGGGAGGGGGGGGTGTGCCACCACGCCACACTCGGGAACGAGTGGCAGCAGCTCGTTCTGTGTAGCCAATGCTTTTTCTCCCGTGAGACTTTTAGGGGGAGGCTTATTTTTGACTCGGTTGAAAGGGAGTCCAATGTGAATTCTTTGAAACTTTCGAGTTATGTTTTCGTAACTGTAGAATGTCAGTACTAGTGCTAATGCAATGTGAGGACTAGAGGCACGTTTCTTCACGGCTTTATTATGTAAGAGCCCGAGGACGGGAGAGCTCTCCTCCTCTGCCGCTCGTCACAGGCACGCACAGGGGCGAGGGGCCCTCTGGGCCGGCCGCAGCTGGCGCAGGGGGAGCTCGGGAACGGATCACAATGTGGAAAGCAAGGTTTGCTTTGTGCACTGAGTTCTGGTGAAAAATGCCACTGTTTGATTTAGCATTAGGGTACGGAGCAGTTCTGTCTCAGTTACTGCAAGAATTAAAATAACCCTGAAAGACATCCTTCTTTCCCTCCAGTGATCTGGAAGTGGTATTCTCCCTGCCAGCCTCAGATGACCAGGCCGCCTGCGGGGATCAGGCACAACAGCCACCAAGGCACGAGCCCCGCCCACTGCTGCACCTCGACGTAGGAGGATAGATCAGTGTCGCTCCTCAGGTAAAAATACATAATCCTTTTATTTTGTAATGCAGTAAAAGTTAACAGCACAGACACGGAGACTAGAAAGGGGAACTACTGCCTTCCGAACATCCGGTACTCAAGCCTGCGTGTACTTCTCACGGACGCCGAGCGGCATCTGCAACACTTACTTCTGAGTGAGACCGCTCTGGGACACAGGGCGAGGGTCTCAGCAGTACAGCCCCTCACCCAGGTCTGCTTACCGGACGGGTAGGGACAAGGCACGCAGCCGTGCTTCCCGCTGCGCTGCCACACTGCTCACGTGCCGTGGTCCAATGGCTGATTACCAAGACGATGGCCACACGAAGGGGAGACTTTGGATTGTCTATGTAAAATCTAAGTAATAATTAATAGAGTTTAAGTGCACTTTCACATGCTGTGTATAATGGACGACAAACTTCCCGACTCCGCTGCGACAGGCTTGACTACCATTCCATTTGGCCGAATGCACTTTCCCCAGTAAACTCAGAACAACAAGAACAACAAGAAGAAGATCCCCGTCCTTTCCTAGTCTAAGAAAGAGGCTTGGCTGCCGAGACAGTTCCTGGCGAGACACGTGCGGACGACGTGCCGTGGCGCGAGTGGCTGGGGGGGGGGGCGGCGCCCAGAGACAGGCCAGGCTCTCCCTTCCATCTTTATTGATTCTCAAGATTTTGCACAGAAACGCTTTGGGGCTAGAACAGCAGTAATTGCATCACACTGTTTGCAAGACTTCAAGTTTTAAAAGCAAACCGTTAAAAAAAAGATACAGCTCCTGATTTGAGTTGGATACAGGGACGAACAGCACATACTGGAGGTTACACGGTCTACAAACGGTGGACGTCTTCCTTGGGAGAGTAGTTCTGTTGGTGTATATTTTTTAAATACTCAAAAAGGCTCAACCTCAAGCAGTAATAAACACAAGCAAAAGTGATTTAACCCTTAAAATAAATATTCAGAAAAACCTCTCTGTACATACAAGTGAAAGAATATGTAACACTTTCACGCAAAAAAATAATTATAATAATAATAAAGGATTTGTTCATATATGTAGCTGAAATCTGCTCCAGCCCACATGTCCCCAACAGAGAAGGGAGGACAGCCAGAGGTGACCGCTGCGGTTCACTGTCGCACAGCCTTTTCGTACTGGACACTATCACCACCAAACTTATCCCTCTTATATTTATTAAAATTTGTAATTTCTTCTTCTTTTTTTGTTTTTACAGCATGCCAAATCCTTTGGCATACGTGATGGCCTTCAACAATCTTTCTTTAAGTTTTTCTTTGCTTGAATATTCCGGAAGTAAAAGGACATTAAAGCAAGTATGAGATGTAGGTAACCTAAATAGAGAGAGGGGGGAAACGGAAAATTAGGGCACGGGACATACAGACCGCAAATCCCTACTGCACACGGTGGGTGCGGTGGTGTGCAAGGGCACGCTACACGCCAATGCAACGTGTGCACCTCCTGCCATCTACCTCCCAAGAACCAGTGTGTCTTTATCCTGTAACTCAGGGGTCCCCCAGCCCTGGACTACACAGCAGGAGGTGAGCCACGGGCCGGCAAGTCCAGCATCAGCTGTCCTGACAGCTGCGGCCCACAACAACGC